GAACTTCGTCGATGTACCGCTGTGCTGTAAGGTTGCGATGGATGACAACCAAAGGGGTCATACTATGAAATGAAATGGCACCCCAGACCATCACTCCTGGTTGTCGAAATGGTACCTCATACCATCACTCCTGGTTGTCGGCCTGTCTGCCAGAAGAAAGGTTGGTATCACACCGCTGTCCGGGGCATCTCCAGACTCGCCTTCGCTGGTCATCGGGGCTCAGTTCAAAGCGGGACTCATCACTGAAGATTATTCTACTCCAGTCAGTGACATTCCAGTGTTAATGAGCCTGACACCACTGTAAACGGACTTGACATTTTACAGAGGTCAATGTTAGTCAGCGCAAGGAGCACCTTGACCTCAACCTCCTTTCTGTGAGCCGTCTATGAGTGGTCCTTGCGGTCATTGAAGCACTAGTTGCATGTACAATTGATGATATTAATGCATCTGGGGCTGTTAGTGCTGCTCTGACAATTGCTCGTCTTCATGTTCTGTCGTTTCTATAGGCCTACCGCTTCCTTCTTGACGCTGTATTTCGAAGGTTCACCTATTCATGTCAACATTGTCTGATAGTGGCATCACTTCTGCTCAAATGTCAAGCTCTTCGCCGATATGACCGACCGGCTTCTTTGAGTCCAACAACACGACCTTTCTCAAATTCTGCACATATCGTTATCGTTTGCGCGCGTATATGCGAGGCATTATTACTGTATACCAGAGTACATGGGATGAAATTCCTGAAGAATTTATGACCTGGAATCATAATTTCTCCTCTAAAATATCTTGCTAGGCGACAACCTTTCATTCATTGGCAGCTAAAATGTAAAAATTTTCCATTTTCTGTCGAAACCTGTATGCATATCATATTTCAATTTGTGTCCAATTTGCTTTATATTTTCTGGGTGTGTCGTGGTGCATAATTTTTGTTTTGTTTAAGAATGTATGTTGATTGATGCTGTGTTGATAATGATCACACTTCAGCCCTTCAGTGGTTGCGGGGTGGGCTAGCATTTTTCTGTCTGGCCTAAATTATAAGCCTTTGTTCTTATGCCAGCATGTCGTCTTACTAGATTTCATTAATAATTCATAAAAAAATTTTTAATTAAAATTGTAAGCTCATCAATGTAAAAGATGTTGCTTGTTGTGTTGCTTGGTCCTGGACTCATGTAAGGGCTATAGCAATTGCCAAATCATGGAAGGATCTGCTAAATGATGATGAACATAAGAAAACAGTAAGCACAGATGAAACCAAAGAAACCATTCTATCTTTAGTACAGTGATCTCTGGATGTGAAGATGCATTTTCGCAAGATATTGGTGAATGGATCAATGATGATGATCAGTATGAAATAACTGATAAAAATCTTCTTGTTCCTATTAGCTGTGATGAAAACAAAATTGAAGATCAAGGCGAGGCACCAACTGTTGAGCCTTGGAGAATTTCACATAACAATGAAGTTAAAACTCTAGAAAGTGCAATTAATTATATTGAGCATCAAGAAGCTATAGTTGTAGAGACATTAGGTGATTTTTAGGAAGCTGGCAAGATGAAAAATTAGCAATGCCTTCACCAGGAATCAAACTGTGGACTTCTCAATTACGTGCTGAGCGTGCAGACCACTACACTTTATATACTCACCCTTTTAAAGGGTGACTGGGTTTTTTAGGGGACTCAGTCGCCAAATCCTGGATGAGGAGAATCATTCATCCAACACCCTTTTAGTTTGGATATCACTGTAGAGACATTAGGTTATTTTTAGGAAGCAGACAAGATGAAAAATTAGCAATGCCTTCACCAGGAATCGAACCGCGGATCTCTCAATTATACGCTGAGCGTGCAGACCATTACGAAGGCTCACTAAGAAGGCGGGAGAAATACTTTATACAGGAATCGGCATAACGATGCTTGCAAAGATGGCGAGTCTTGGTAACAAAAAAACAGGACTCATTAAGGAAGCAGACTACTATCAAAAATTACTTTCAGTTACCACGTGACTGAACTTTTGATGTACTGTATGTAACATCAGACAATTTTATGACTGTTAGTTCATTTTTCAGTTAATTTTTCCTTTATTGTAAAACATAGCTATTTGGCTTGTAATGTATAAAACTGTGATATAATTTGACATTTCATATGATTTTTCTTAATACCTTTCTATTATGCAGTATTTTCATGTACCGTAATTTCTGGAAGAAAGGCCGCATCAGCGTAAATGCCGCAGTCGAGAAAAATGGCGGGAAAAGAATTAAAATTACACAGAAACGCCGCATCCGCGTAAACGCCGCAATAGATTAAATTGACATCATCGTGGGCCGTATAGATGAAAAATCTCAACCTATGTCCTGATATATGACATATCAGTTAAGAAAAAAGCTTGAAATGAAACCATAACTCAAAAATAATTAAATTAAGGTAAGAAATGTTTGTTGAAAATATATTTACGTTCGCGAATATACTTATATTTACCCATTAAAGAAGTCCATATTTGTAATACTCAGACTATATTATAAAAAAAATGTTGCAATTTGCAACAATGAAATATTAAATTTGGATGACAAAAGGAAATTTTTTTTTTAAATTTTACTTACAAAAGGAATTACAGCAAACTCTACATCATATGAAGCCATCAAAATCTGATTCTTCACTATCTGAATTAAAAAGATTTAGTAAATCCTGATCTAAGTCCAAGTCTTCCAGATCATCACATTCATCCTCTTGGTGTACAGTCTCTTTATCTAAGGATATAATTTCAGCTTCTTTGAACCCTGCTATTATTGACGATGTTTTTACCGATTTCCACGCACTTCCTACCCACTTTGCAACTTCTTCATAAGATGCTTTACGCATTTTACCGCTTTTGGTATACATATGCAATCCTTCACTCATCCAACACTCTCACCGCCTTCGGACTTCAGCTTTGAAGGATTTATTACCTGACAAATCTAATAGTTGTAAGATTTTTGTCAAACCACCAGGAATTATTGCTATGGTCGTAGACAAGTTTTGATATCTGGTTTTCACTGACTCAAGTAAATGAGCACGCATCGAATCCATTGTCAATAACCCTTTTGGTTGGAAAAAAGATCTCTTACGACACTGCCAAACATTTTTGTAGCCACTCATGCATGATTGTTTCGCACATCCACCCATTCTCATTTGCACAAATAATTACGTCATTAGGAAAATCTCCCGTCGGAATAGTTTTTCGTTTAAAAATGATCATTGGCTTTAGCTTGTCACTGTTTGCGGCACAAGCTAATGTAAATGACGTTCTTTCATGCCCCGTCGTAAGCACAGATACAGTTGTTGCACCAGTTTCACCAACAATTATGTTTGCAGGAGAGTTGAAAGCTAATGGTGTTTCATCCATATTTATTATCTGTGACTGAAAAAGTTTTTTTTTGGGGGGGTCACATATTTTAGAAAAGATGCCTTTTTATCCAGCCAGTCCATTGGTAATTGTTGCCCGACTGTTGTTCAAGTACGCCCAGAACTATTTTTTCTTTTCATAAATCTGCTACACCAGCAAGGCCCTCCTTTTAAATCATTTATGTTCATTTGTTTTGCTATAAATTTTGCTTGTAAGTGAATTTTTACAGTCAAAATTGCCATTCCCTTTCCTCGTTGCTTCTTTATCCAGTTTGCAAGGTCGTGCTCTAGATTTGGCCACCTTACAGTACCACTTCTTTTGGCTCGTTTCTGTTGTGGCATATTTTTAAGTTCTTTTTCAGTTCTACAATGTTGAACTCGTCTACTTCAAACTCTCGAGCTGCTGCTCTATTTCCAATTTGTTCAGCACGTGAAATTACATTAAGCAGATAGCTTCTGTGCCATTTAGATGCCATTTTCAAAATTTTTCCGCTCCCTTCTTACTTAAAAACTATCCAACATATACTTGTACCCAAACTGATGGGATCTGTATCTGGCAGAATGCCAAGAAAAATCTATTCATGCTCATGATGAAGAGGAAATACGTCAGAGTTCATTATTGCAAGGCATATGGAGTCGTGTCCGCCTTCGAAAAAAATTTGCAGAAAATGCAGGGGTGGGGAGAGGATGGGTCCAGAAAGATTCATCAAATGGCACAGGAAAAGAGACTATTCAAAACGATGAGAATGCTGATTTGAAAGGGGAAGAAGAATGTTATTGTTCTGAGATCCTGTTAAGGGTGAATAAGGCATGTAGGTCCCTTCAAGGGAAAGAATGTAAACAAAATAACGTTCGCAAAAAGCAACTGAATAGTCTTTTGTGTGGGAACAACTGAGTGGTCTATGTACAATGACAAGGCCATCCAAACTATGTACAATGACTAAGTTATTCAAACTATGTACAATGACAAAGTTATTCAAACTATGCACAATGACCATGATAGGAAATATTTTATTTTTAGTGCATATAAACGCCACATAGGTAGAAACGCTGCACCCGCTGAAAATTTAATTTTTAAACACATAAACGCCATGGCGTTTCTTCTGGAAATTACGGTATCTCACGTTCTGCTGGCCTGTTTATGTCAGATAAGCAAAACTACTGTTTGTGTATAATTTTAATGTTAGTATTACTACCACATAATTTTTACCAAGTTTGTTTTATTTTTTATTTCATAAATCATCTATTTAAATGTTAAAAAATAATTAGTTCCTGCTTAAGATATTATTTTTGCAGTTCCGAAAAGATTATAGGATTTAAATGAAAATATTCATACATCAAAATTTTAGAAAATTCATCTGAACTTGAATATGAAGTTGCATATCTGTTCCTTCTGTGTGTGCAAGCATGTGATAATTCAGTTTATATTGTGTTTTAGTTAATTTAGTTTACTTCTTATAAATATGCAAGTTCAGCTTCAGGTATCCAGATATTCAGTATTGCTTCAGCTACTCTTTGATAAGCCATTTACATCGCTTCTATCTAGCTAGAGCATGTCTTATATGTATGTATTATATTAATCTAGCAATTTTCAATAATTATCAAAACTGAGTATAATATGTCTATTTCAGAGATGTTGGTGTTAACATCAAAGAAGGCATAACTGGATTTTCTGGGTATTTATTCTTTATTTTCTCTTTAAGTTATTTGTATACAGTATTTTTAATACTTCTTATGAGAGTTCTTGTTATATTACTTTGGATAATGCGTTTAATTTTTTCCTCCTGTCCTTAAACTAATATTTGTAAAAAGTTTAAGATGAAGGTTAGATGCTTTACTATTCCTTGAAAAATTTTTCAATATGTAATCTGTACTAATTTAAATGTCTCAATACAAAGTAATTTTAATTAGCAATTGTATTTCAATTTAGAGTGTAACATAAACAGTGAGTCCTAAATTTATGTGTAGAATACGAGTGTGTGACACTTAGCCAACATCCATTTAACCAATGAGACACTTAGCTGATAATATATTTGGCCGACACAGACAGTTAGCTGACAGGGCATTTAGCCTACACAGACTGACAGGACACTTAGTCGATGGCTACATATAGCCAACAGGTCATTTAACTGACACATATTTTCCAATAAGGCATTTTTGATGATAGCATGTTTAGTTGACAAAATGTACATATAGATAGAAAACATACCACAATGTTTTAGTAAAATCTCTGCATATTTATCTGAAAAAAAGAGCTTGTTCCAAGGTACCCAACAAGAAGGTGTATAAATAAGTACCATATTTTTTAATTTAATATTAAAGAATCTGGGTTTTAAAATTAAACAGAAAAGCAATCTTACTTTTGCATAGATTTTGAAATAAATTTTGAGAATAATCAGATATAGGTCTCTGTATTTCAGTTTGTTTTATTTGAGAAAGCACTCGAGGGCTATCTGCCTAAGGGAAGGTATGCTTTCAGCGCCCATGCAGCCAGCCCAACTGCTGGGGTTCGAACATCGGACTGAACTACCAGTACGGTATTTAGTTTCCGAATACGCTATGTATAATACAGTGGTGCTCAACTTTTTTTGCCCCATGTATCCCTTTCAGTATTGCTAGACGATCATTCCCTCCTCTTCTCCATTCCAAAACTCGAAAATGCCAATATGCTTATTTAAATTTATGCTATTTTTAAAGTTTATAAATTGAACAAGAAAAAGTATAGAAAATATTGATTAATTTAAAACTTGAATAAAATAGATTCATATTCATAGACAAAACTAAAGTACTTAGTAGGTAAACAAGAGGCTGGCTGCATCTCCCTTTTGAAACTGTGAAATTCTTTCCATTATAGAACCCCTGGCATAATATAACTAAAAATATTGTCATTAAAATTTTCAGATTTTTAAGTTATTTTTTAAAATGTACAGTAGAACTACTGATATCTGGCATACTTGGGACCATAGTCAATATTATTTTTCACCAAATCCGGGTAGTTGGGTTCTTTTTCTTTTGTAAGCCTAATGTCTATTTGTGGCAATGAAACTGGAAAATTTTATTTCTGTTATATTTTGTTATTTCACTGCATTATGCAGTTAAACAGTTCACTCAAAAGTCACTAAAACAAATACATGTTTTTGCGTAAACATATAATGCATATTCATTTCAATTAAAATAAAACAAGAAGATTAAATTTAATTTATGCAAGCATTAATATTAAGCAAAGAAATTCCTTTAAATTTCCATAAAACAAAAGGTACAGATTAAATTCAACTAAATTGTTACTGTTGAACTAATATTAAACTAAAGTATTTTTATTGGTGTAAAGTAATATAATTAGCAGTATAGTATATATAAAATGTTTTATACTTACAATTTATAATAAAATTATGCTTTCTATGACAATCTGATAGAGCTATCTGCTTTGTTACGCAAGTGTGCAAAATAGCAGATGAATCTGCATGTCGTCCATTGTACTGTAAAATATTATCTTTTTATCTTATTTAAATGGAATTAAACATACATGTATAAGTTTATCATTTATTGAGTTTTACTTGGCCTAGTTGAACAAAAGGTCCAGATAAATGGAGTACTACTATACATGAATATATTTGTAATTTTGAATCTTGATTTTGCTGCATATAATTTTATTTAAATAGAGGTGTTGTTGGGAACATAAAAGGAGGATTGTCAGGTCTAACGCAGGCTACGCATAGTGCTGCAGAGTAAGCTTTTGTATTAAGTTCTTGAGAAATTTTTCTTAGCGCAGCATATTCACTTTCTTACATTCCCTTTTGTTTTACAGAACAGTTATCCAAGCCTCGAGAGTTTGCTCATCTCATAAAGAACCGGTTTGGAAGTGCTGATAACATTAGCTCTTTGGAAAGTATGTTTCTTCCGTATGATTATCTAGCAATACTTAATTACATATTTTAAAGTAATTAACTACTGTGATGTAATCTATAAAATGAGTTAATAATATGAAAGTATGCAATATATGTTTAATATATTTCACATGTAAATATCATATGTTATAAATCATATTTAAGCACATCATGTTAAAGAAAAAAGTGATTAAATGTCTTAAAGAGACTCATTGATGTTGTAAATGTTCAAAATACCAACTTGTCAGGTTCATTAGTGGTGTACTGATGGCTAGTTTCACTGCTGGGGGGGAATTAAAAACTGGTTATCTCATTGAATTTCTCTTGTAATAAAATTTCCTTCATTTTCATTAATTGCTGTATAATATTTTTTTATTATCCTAAGCTTTTTTCCTGTTAATGAGAAGTAGACTACATTTTCTTTGATTGCTAACTCTCTAGATCAGCTGTTCTCACCCTTTTGGCTAATACAGACCATTTAAACAAAAGTTGAAATAGTTTAGTACCACCACTACATTTTACAATGATTATTTGTTATTTGTCAAATTCTCAATAGAAATATTAAAATATGTTTTTGCCATTTGCACAGCCTATTGGCTATTTGTGTTAAATATGTACACATAAAAAAATATTAAAAACTCATTACCATTTTAATTATCAAAATTTAAAATATAATGCTTTAATTCTGAAATTTTGTGTGAAATTTGGACCTGTTTAAGAGAGATAAATTCCTTTAATATCTGGTCTTATTTTGCGTAGTTTTCACCATAAATTAGGATCCACTTTTAAATTTGTTCAGTATTTGTTTTTCAAATATAACATGGAAGGAAATCTTTGTACACACAAATAGGTTGGGCAAAAAGTCAATAAAAATTTAATAGCTTTTATTTGAAATACCTTTAAATTTTTTTTTTTTTTTTTTTTTTTTTTGTTTACTCAAAAGTTGACACAAGTGTGTTATTTTTGAAATCTTCAGTTATAGTCTGATCACATGGGATTTCTATCAATTGTTTTTTTTCTTCACGAGCTAAAATTTCAGGTACATTTGAACAAAATGAATTTCTAATCCAATTTTCTTTTTCATAATCCCTGGGAAAACACATGTTGAAATTATTTTTCAGTGAAAAACAATGATTTTTAATGTTCAATGCTTTTTTCTTTTATTTTCAAATTATTTTCTGTTAGAAAACTTTCTAAAAGTAGTAAAAAGCTTAAAATATTATAAAATTCTTTGATTATTAGCTTGAGTTTTTTATCAGTGCATTTATATTATCTCTAATGATAACCAATTTACACTGTCATTATAATCCTAAATTTAATTCATTGAACTTTCCAAAAGTATCAGCTAAATATTCTAAACATGCCAAACATAATTCACTAAATAAACAATTTTGCAATTCACATTTTGAATCACAGAGGATTTAAAACTTTGCCTGTGGACAACCACCTTACTTCGGATTGTAACAAAAGCATTTCACGTGCACTGCCCATCTCTTGGCATAAAATCGTTAATATTCTTGAATTAAAAACTCTGCTTTTAATGAAATTAACTATTTTCACACCTTGATTCAAAACGGTTTTCAGGTTTTCGAGGATTGTTTTGGATACTAAAGATTCATGAAAAATAGGAGCAGTGAGTGAATTTAGTTTCGGATGGTTTTCAGGTTTTCAAGGATTGTTTTGGATACTAAAGATTCATGAAAAATGGGAGCAGTGAGTGAATTTAGTTTCGGATGTGACTTTCTTTTATGTGATAAATAACACCACAATGTTTTCCTGTTAAAGCCCGTGCTCCATCACTGCATATGGCAATGCATTTATTCCAAGAAATATCATTTTCAAACTCAATTACTTTGAACATTTCATTTGCAGTTACTCTATAATGAAGAGATTAACACACGAAAAAAAAATACTCTGCAGCAATTCGTTTATCCTCTTCGAAATGTATGTAAACCCAATAACTGAACAAAAGTTCATTATATCAGTATTTTCATCCAACTGTAATGCGAAATACTCTGTTTATTTTTTGAATAAAGTTCGTCGTTTATGGAATTTGCCATTTCCTGAATTCATCGACTTACTGTATTGTTTGATAAGGGAATATTATCAAGTTCATTAGCTACTTTTTTGTGGAAAAAGCCTTTACATTTAAGGTCTTTTTAAATAAGAGGTTTATTTAAACCTTTATCTGACTTTAGTTACTTTCAGACATAGCAATAATTTGCCTCATGTCTGTCAGGGATTTGAGAGTGTTTAACTTTTATCAAATCAAGTAAGCCCTCATAGGAACACTGCACAAAAAAAAAGGGGGGACAGTTTTATATCTCCCATTTTACTGGCCCCCCATTGACAAAATTCAAATTGTGTTTTCTATGTCTTGAAAGCGCGACTTACGATATATATTAGATTTATATAGAGCATTTTTCTAACATAGGTGTTTTGACACAAAATCAAACTTTTTCTGAAGTAACAAATTTTTTTCCATATTTCGATTCTACGACTCAAAATTTTCCTATATATTAAATTTTGTAATTTTTGGTGATAAATTTATAGAGATTTTTCAGGTTTAACTTTAGGCAGGCCCAAAGAACTAGTTGACGTTTGAATGCTTTAATTATGTCAAACATGTTCATAATGATATAATCTTTTCCTTGTAACGATAAATTTAAATCGGTTAAGTGTTTGGTTATATCAACCAAGAAAGATAATCTTGTATCCATATTGGATAGTAAAACAAACTTACGTCTTGATTTTTCGTTTTTAAAAACTGACATATTTCTTCTTTCAAATCCCAGAATTGTTTGAGAATCTTGGAGCAAGGTAACCAACGTACCTTGGTATAGTAGGACAAACCCGAATATTCACTATCTAACTCATTTAAGAAAGCAGTGATTTGACACTGATTTAAACCTCGAGATCTTATAAAATTTATAACTTTTTTTATATATGACAAAACATTCTCCATATTTATTACTTTCGTGCATAGAACTTCTTGATGTATAATACAATGCATATGATGAATGTTTGAACCGTGAATTTCACTAAGTTTTTTTCTTAGTAATGCTACGAAGCCCTTGTTTTTCCCGGTCATTGATGGAGCGCCAACTGTAGTTACAGAATTTAATTTTGCCAAAGGTAGATTGTATTTCTGCAGAAGTCCAAAAACACAAGTAAATATATCTTCTCCTGTGGTAGTACCAGGCATCGGTATTAGTTAAAGTAATTCCTCAAAAATGTTAAAATTCTTGTCACGAGAACGAAGAAACACTGCGAATTGAGCTTTGCCACTAATGTCCGTGCTCTCGTCACAGGCAATGGAGAAACTTTCGAAACTAGATGATTTTGCTTTGATCTGATCACTTAAATTCGCGGCTAAATCAGTAACTCTTTCCGCAACTGTACTTCGAGACAATGAAATTGATTGAAAAGCCTTCACATTTCCAGGACAAACAATTTCTCCAGCTTTCATTAGGCATTCCTTGATGAAATCACCGTCAGTAAAAGGCTTCGAATGTTTAGCTATCAACTCGGACAAGACGTAGCTTAGCTTGCATGTACCGGCGCTTCACTTTCTTGCAATACTTTACTAAACATGGACTGTTGTTGCTTTTTCACTCCTAACTTGAGCTCTCTTTCAACTTTTCTTCTCTCATTAATCCTTCGTAATTGTTATATTTCGATTTGTGTTGTTCGTAATGATGTTTAATATTATATAACTTTGGCACATTAATAGTATTATTACATATCAAGCAGATTATTTTATCTTTTATTTCACAGCAAAAATATTCTAATTCCCATTTTACTTGGAATATTCTATTTTTGTCAGCGATTTTTCGTTTAATTTTATTACCACTTGGTTTTGATATATACATACTGAATACAAAGGGCTGGAATAAACACGGTTAACGTTAAAAAGTTAACAAAAATTTATTCTTTCCACAAGAGATAAATCAAAATGCTGAATATTTCTTCAAAAATATTCTAACAATATCACAAAATGTCAAACGTTTAGCAAAAATCAATTCAAAACAGAGAAACTAATTCTATCTCACAGCGAAATCGGTACAAATCAATCACAGCATTAAGTAAACAAACAGTTCGCTAGAACTACAGCTACTACTGCGATGAATTTTTTTGTTCTCTACTTTTATAAGCTTTATAATTAATTTCTCGAATATACTGGAAACATCTATAAATATCTGGATTTTTATGGATGGCAACAGCAATTACGAGATATTTATTTATTAGGCATTAAATGCACGCGCTGTTCTATTTTTAACCTTCCAACGCAGCTGTCTTTTCAAAAATTGTCTGCATTGCTAAGGCAACATGAAGCAAATCTAATTACAATTCTAAATAAAAAAAAAACTAAATAAATAAATAAATAACTATGAAATCCGTAACAATATGAATTAAGTAATAATTAATAATAAAGCAAAGTGCATGCACATGCATGCACCAATATATCGTACAAAACTATGATTGGAAAACTGAGACCATGAGTTCGGCCACATTCGGCTATCGGGGGATGCGTAGAAGTTCTGAGTGCACGTGTCCCCCAAAAGCCGAAGGTAGCTGAACACAAGCTACTCACACGCATTTGTAATTTAAGTAGTGTGTGTATCAGCTTGCTGTGAGTAATCTAACAACACTGAATAAATTATCGTTAATTACTTAGCAGTAAACATTTCATTTTTTTCTTCATCGATATGTTATTTTATTATTATATATTATTATTTGCCAATATATTGGCCGGGCCACAAAAATATTTGTTGTGGGCCGCGAGTTTGACATCCTTGACTTAAAGTAACAAAAACCTTTCAATACTTGTGTACTATTTTTGAACTCTGATAGTTTCTCTTAAAATAATCTTCAGATTTATCCTTTAAATTGACATGCTGAGATTCAAGATGTCTTTTAAGAAACTATGGTTTTATACTTTGATTGGATAAAAGTTCACTGCAAATAACACACTGAGGTTGAGGGTCCATTTCATCTCCATTCCAAGTTAACCCATATGATAAATAACTTTCATTATATTTTTTATAAACAACTTTTCTTTTCAATATTCTTAGTGCTAGTAGATTGCCCTGGATACATCACCTGTGAATAATCACTTTTCCACAAAGTCAATTCTAGCCATTTTTCCATTTTGAAAAATCTAGATTTGTCTTATTATTTTTTCACAAATATTTAAATACACAATATATTGCGAGTTCTTCAAAAACAAAAGACAGTATTCTCAAATCGCATAGAAAAGTAAGGAATGCAAAGCAACAAGAAGCGAGTAAGGAATACAAAGCAACAAGAAACAATATTTTATGTTATTCTAATTGAAAATAGAGCAATACGAGCCTGGAAATGGTGGCAACATAAAGTGTAGACATGCTAATAAACCGATCAGATCAAATTAATAATCTACTATTATATTTTTATAGGAACTTATTTTTATTTCCTATTAAATAAAACATCCATTTCGGTTACTCCTTTTAAAAATATCATTTATGACAGATTTTGTTATATCTATGGCTAAAAGAATATTTATGAAAATAAAAATGGATTACTCTGCTAAAGTCTGTGAGCAGCTATTGACCTTGAACGAAGCTCAGGTAGCATAAATTTAGAAGTGTTAGAGGAAAAACTTAAACAGGATGTTGGGTTATTTAATTTTTGAATTTAATAGTTAAAAATACTTTGTTTGTTTTTTTCTATACCACCTATTTTGCTCTTGCATACCACCAGTTGAGAATCGCTGCTCTATATAAATGACCTGCTGTTCTGCTGTGATAATAGCATTTCTAATTATAATAAGCTGTGATAAACTGGTGAGGAAATGATTAGAGCCAATAGGCAAAATTTTAATCTTAGGCAAAACTTTACTCTTGAAAAGTAGAGTTCTGTTTTAACCTTTTTCCACCCTTGATTACATAACATTTTATTAAACGGTTGTGTGATTTAATGCATACATATGATATCTTATTATTAGTATTTAATATTAAATTGTTGATTGCTGTTTATGATATGTATTTTGTAGAAATACCCCAAGAGTCTTCTGAAACACAGCAGCGAAATTTGCATGGGAGTGCAACATTTACGCATTGCAGGTAATATTGTATTTGTTCTTCTCAATGCTAAGGTAAACATTAATAAATTGGTGTTGTGTTTTATTTTTGAAATGTAGAATTTTTAAGCATTTTCTAATGAAAGGTTTAAACCTAAAGTACTGATAGCCTTAGTTCCTTTGACACATGTGTGGCTGTATTTCTGTTTGCTATGACAAGAGTTGCTACTACTTGTGCAACAAAAAAAAAAAAAAAAAAAAAAAAAAAAAAACATCATTATATGTCTTAATAAAAGTTAAAAAAATGTGTTAAGTAAAATTTAATTTTGTATCTAAGTACTATATCAGTTATATGTCTTAATACTTTGCTATATTTTCAGTAATTTTTAAAAATTTAAAAGGATATTAAATACTAGTAAATAGCTTTAAGATTTTATTTCCTGTTCTAGTTTATTGTAAAATAATTTTACACTTCTTAGTAAATATCCATCAGATGATGAAAGTTCCAGCTTGACATCAGGTTCTGGTGGTCATTTAATCGCTGGGAGTATTTCAAGTCCTCGTCATCAACCACTGCTTCAAAGATCACCTCCAGAGCATTCATCTACGCCTACTGTGACACCTTTGGTTGCAGATTTGGAGCCAATTCTTCAAGAATTGCGTGAGCGTCGTGAAGAATACCATCACTTAGTTGATGAAGTTGAGGCTCTCAAAGTAAAGCTTTCTCATATGTTTGTTTAGAGATATTAATTTCATTTCTGTTTCATAAACCAAATAAGAGATCATTAATGTGTAAATCAATATTCAGTAGAGAAAGCCAATATGACGTTTTCCTGCTTTTACGTGACACTTCATTACTATACTTTTTCTGAATTCCTACTATCATGTAGAAATTAAAATATGACAGTTGATTTTTTATAAGTTCATAGAATCCAAATCGTAAAGTACAATAGAATGGAATTTTTCCTGAAATTGTCGGAGGAACAGAAACGTCAAGTCAAAATTGTGAAAGTATTAACTACTTATTTACATATTAGCGCTAGATTACTAAACCTTCTTAACTTTTACAAGTCTTCTGGTGACTGTATATGATTTATGTTTCCCTTACACCTGATTTGCTTATGACCTTCAGTATTTTCAATCAGAATAAGCTTACATATAAAATTATATGGACTTTTGCTCAGTTTTATTTTTTAAGCATATTCAAATTCATATTGTGAGCATTAGTTATCACAATTTAGTGATAGCATTATCAATTTTTTGTGTAATCATTTATTTCATTTACTGAATTTAAAAAATCATATAACAGTACTGAAGTTTATTATAGTGATTTACAAAAACTAGTTTTATTTAAAAAAATTATTAACATCTCAAAGGAAGTTGCTTTTACATACTGTGTGCTCTTAAGGCAGAGAGAAGAGGGAAAAAATGCACCAAGAAGTTATGTGATAGTAATGAAATTTTATGTACAATTTCTTTTCAATACAATATGCAAATGGTTAAATTTTGGCAGCCAATAAATGAATAGCTGGAACTATAGAACATCATGAATAAGCATCCAAATGGTGTTTAAAAGAGGAAAAATTCCAGGTTTAGGGCATGACTTCCATTCAAATTCGAATCTACTTATTCATTTTAACTGTAACCAATGCCTTGTAAATTGGTTTAAAAAAAAGTTTGTGAATTTCCAACAGTGGTTTGTCATATTGTGCCAGTTAACCGCTTGCCTGATTATCCCGAGTTATCTTGGGTTCTTATATATTGCAGTTAATTATTATCCCGTGAAAACTCGGGTGAAGTAGAATTTGTTAGTATGATTTGTTTTATCACAGTTTTACTCAGCCTGGAGGAAATGAAAGGAAATATTCTGCTTTGGTTGGTATTTTGCCCAATTTTTTGATTGTGCACGTTCTTTTGGAGGGACTGGTCACGTGTTTCCCTATTGTACAGTATAAGTGGGCTTGTGGATTAGTAATGTATATAAAGAAGGATACATGGGTTGAAAAAAATGAAGTAATAGCGATCATGCAAGATAGTGAAAGTGATGATTTTTCAGATAGTTATTATGAAGAAGTGGAAAAAATTTTTTTAAAAAAAAATCAAATTCAACACGGCAGTGTACTTTGTGCTCCTGTGAAAGAGATTCCAGCGGTAAGCCAGTAAGAAAAGAGACCAGATACCAGTGTATAATGTCAGGTATCACTTTATGTTGTCCCTTGTTTAAAAAGCTATCATACAAAGACTAATATTTAACTTTTTTTCGTTTGCCCGACATAACTCGGGATAGTAAACTAATATTAAAACTAAATGCTTTTACACCTTCAAAAAATTAAAAATTCAACTTAAAACCTACATAATTTGATTTGTTTCATTTCATTGTATTTAATAATAAAATAAAAAAAATGTGATGATTTTTTGCAATTTTTTTCAAAAACAGCGGTTAAGAGAAGACATGCAGTTTGATTTGTACCAATCTACCTGCTACTTATTAAAGTAGCAGTAACTTAACTTTAAAAAGTAACAGATCAATCAAATCAAATAATAGCTCAATGTTTGGATCAAAGTGATCCTGTCCTATTGACAATGTTGGCAGGAATGGTTGAACCATGACAAAGCACAGCATCAAAAAGGCAGCAGTCAATCTATAGCAATAAGTCGTGTGCCTCCATTTCAGTCTCAACTTAGTGTATACTTCCGAAAAGACAGACTCTACAAGATTAGACTGGGTGGGTGACACAAAAGTTTTTTTTTTTTTTTTGTCTGTGTGTTGTTCTTGTTGTTTGTTTGTTTTTTTTAAATAGATTGAGTTTTGTTATCATAAAAATGCATAATTTGAAAGTCGTTACTCAGTTTACTGCTGAACTCCTGCATTCCCTTGATCAGAAACTCGCATCAGGTAATCTTCTGAAATTTCAGAATTAAAAGTGTTTTTCAAGAAACAGATGATGCTGATCTTATGAAAAAATGTTTTTTTAAAGTGACAATTTCAAAATTAAATATTCCATTAAAAATGGTCATCGGCTAAGATATGAAGCAATTTCGACAACCAATCTCATTGCAGAACATTGCAGAAGATGCTCACATTGCAGAACAATTCAGACATCTGAAACTGTCACATGAATGCACTTTTATGGTTGTGTTAAGGTGTCTAACTTATGAACCACAATCAAACTCCAAAGTCATTTACTATCATCAAGGATGTGCAACTGGCACTCCACTTCCCATCTGTGTCAGACAGTTGACAACATGAGCAAACAGCACCAGACCTAGATGCAAGTGAGCCCCTGGATCACCACAGTGGAGGACCTCAGACATGACAAAAATATGCGCTTCTGTGCAAGGGGGAAGGCAAATTATGAATATGTCACATGTGTTACAGTGCCATGCTCTGTAGTGCAATGATAAGCTCTGTTAGGTATGCCCACATACTGCAGTAGTCACATCAGTGCACAGGGCTCAGGACCATAACATGGCCTTTTTCACAACAAACTGTCATATCTCCTTGTATCACATTAAAAATTTCTGTTGGGAGGAGTAGTGATCACAAGATTAGATGGATGCTTGCCCAACAAAACAGTTCAAGTATCTGAAACTATTGCAAAAGTGCTGTTTTATGATATTAGTTGCCACAAAGCAGATCCATGATTGAACCCAAGGTTATTTCCATCTGCAGAGACATGGGGTCTGATTTGATAATACTGCGCTTCCCATCTGTGCGAATCAGTGTTGCCAGATCGTGTGTTTTTTATAAATTTGCTACTTTTGACAAATTTATGTGTATGCAATTTTGTGAAATTTTTGCTACTCCATCATTTCCTTGTGCTATTTTTTGTGATTTCAAAGTTTTTTTTAATATATCATAAAATATGTATATGTTAAAATAATCTATTAAATATTTATTAAAATATTTATATCTATTAAATTAATTTATAGCTAAAAAATGAGGCTTAACTAGAAGTTGGCTCTGCCTATGAAGTCTTAGGGCAGCTGCAAACAGTTTTCACTGCTAGTCACTGGTGTTTTCATGTATTTGATTGATTGCTTTTAATCTTCTTGTGTTCTGTGGATAGGCTTGCAAAATTTATGTCTGATTATAGCTGCTGTGTTAATTAAAGTGTGAATTATAGGTGATGTGAAAAACTCAATGTTATCTTTCAAAATTCTTGGCTTAAAATACACATTTGAGAATTGGCTAATGAAAACAACAAGATTGAAGCTTATGTTGCAAGTTATGTAAATGTGAACTTGGGGCACATTAAGCTGATTTAATGAAGCATGGTACTTCTCTAAAGCAAGAAATAAATGCCATCAAATTTACCATCTGATACTTACTTTTATCGAATACAAAATATACAGCATTGATAAAGAATTGCTCAAAGAACAAATAATTGATATTAATAAATCCTCATTTTTTCTTAGATTGGATGAGTCTGCAGATGTTGCCAGCATCTATGTTTATGAGTACATTATTGTAATGAAGAAGAAAATAAAATAGTGACATACTTTTTAGTCATTTATTTTCCTATGACACTAGATAAGATATCTTCACAATACAGTGGAATATGATTACAGTAAATCCTTTTGAGGTAATAACTTCTGAAAATATCCTGTATTTATGAGAACATAAATTAACATTAGTGCTGTAAAACAATTATTTCCTTAGGAAATGAAAATGAAATCAAGAATGGTTGACTTAGAGAATACTCAGCTTGCTTGTTCTGTAATATATTTTATTTCAAATGCTACTTGGTTTTAAAATGAAATATTTTTAGAACTAATACATAGTATCTAAGCAAGACAGAGTTAAAACTTCAGAAATTAAGCCATGAAGGTATATTTATAATTGTTATTCTATCCATAAAACTACAAGACATCATTCTTTATTTCTTTACACTTTTTTTTTTTTTTTTTTTTTTTTTTTTTTTTTATTAAAATTCTGCAAAATGTTAAGTGCAAAGGATAACTTTTATTTAGCATGTAAATTTGTAGCTTGTGTGCCATATATTTGGAGATACAGAAAAATACGAAATTCATTCCCATGTTTATAATATTATTCAGAACTAAATGATCAAAATGACTTAAAAACCAAAGCAACATCATTTTCTAATTAACAATACAAAGACATTTTACAGTGAAAAAAACAGAAAAGAGAGTAGAAAAAAGGAATTTCATCAGTAATCAGAATCTGATTAAGTTTGCCAAGCAGAATGGAAACTTCACTGAAAAGTATTAAATTTTTTTTTTTTTAATGAATTGCCAACTTAAAAAAATTAGGACAAAAGCACTAATAATCTAAATGTGAGGAATCGCTTAAAAATGGATATGCACAAATTAATTTTAAAATAAAAACTTGGATCAACTGAGAACAAATTAAAAAGGAATTGAATATTTAATTAACAGAAAATTATGAATATAGTTTTAAAATTTCATCAAAAATAAGATACATAATTAAAGTAACTAAAAACTGAATTACAGTCTGTGGCTTATGGAACAAAAGAGAGGGAATTTTTTACGACGTCAGAGGGCATGTAAACATATGTAATTATGACAGCTCAAAAATCACGTGATTTTTAATGTTGTGTGACTTTTTTATTCTTCTGCTACTTTAGTTAAAAATTTCTGCCAACATTGGGGCTAATAAATGGTGACATGAGTCAACAGATTATGTTATCTCAAATATTTATTGCAATTTAATTAATTTTAATAAATATGTGTTATATAATTTAAGATGGTTAAATTACAAATTTGTAAATGAATTTTGGAGTTTTCTCCATTTATGTTGGCAATTATTCGGAGTGTTTTTAATAGGAGATAAATTTCCAAGTAAAATCCTCATTTCTTATGCAAAGTTTACTCTTACAAATGCAAATATGTGGAAATTTCCAATGAATTTTGGTACATTTCCTTTTATAAATTTCTTTGTATAAATTATATATGTACTTTTTTCTTTTAATAGTATACATTATTGTGATTAATATCAATATTATTTTTTTTATTTATTTTGATACTTTGCATGTATTTTAACTGTATATTCACATGTGCTGTAGTTTTATGACTTTAAAATACCTTTCAGACTCAGGTGCAGCAGGAATATACATATTTTAACCAAGCCTTACATGATGAAAGATACAGATATGAAGTGAGTTAATAATGTATTAAGTAGAATAATTATGATTTATTTGCATTTATTTTTTTAACCAAAACCTATCATATAATGAAATATATTAACTAAAACATACTAATATTAGTAATATTCTTATCTTAGTTGTTAAGATTTCTTTTTCTTTCCAGTTTTATATAATTTTATATAAAATATTAAGGAAACTTTTCCATGTTTAGCATTTTTAAGCTAAATGTATAAAGAACAAATAAGTTTCTTTTATAATTTTTTCTTTTTTATTGAATCATGAAGGTTTTAATCAAGTTATAAACTTAGATGGTACTTTTACAGTTGAGCACCATTTATACATTTCTCATTTATATGGCTTTTACATTGATACATCATTCATCTTAGTCCTGATTTACTCATCTATTTTAGTAAGATATTTTTTTTATACATCGCATAACCGTGGTTATATGTCACTTTTGCTTCCCTTTTGCATTTACTTCCTGTTTCATAGTACCACCATTCAAGTATTTTCCCCAGAAATGGGGATAGGAGAAGGAAACAAAGGCATGAGACATAACTGTCTCGTATTTCATATTGAAATTGAAAACCAGTTCATGAATAGAGGGGATATTTGAAAGGAAAAATAGATATATTTTTTTCTTCTGAACAGTACACTGTAGTAAGTTATTCCAGTAGTGATACTGTAGTTTGCTGTAGTAAGTCTAGTTCCAGTAGTTAAGTAACTGCTGGAATTAATTTACTAGTTAAGCAAACTACTGGAATTAGGCACTACAGTCGAGGGCCAAACTGTGATGCCAACGTAATAACGTTTGAATTAGGCACATTTGAAGAACTGATCAAAAGCATTTTACTAGATGAATATTTAGGTAGCTGGGATAAAGAAGAAAATGAACAAATAATCCCACCTTCTTTTTAAAAATGCTATCTACTGCATTGCCACTATCATAAATTTTTTTGTGTATAATAATACAAGGGAGAAAATATTTCAAGAATTTAATTTAATTCATTGAGCTGTGCGTATTCAGAATCAAAAGACCCACCAGACGACAGTTAAAGGCTTTTTTCATTAAAAAAGTTAAAATTTGCTTTAAAAGGGTCTAGGAAAAATGGTGTTACTTGTTCGAGTTACTAATTCAAGTAAAGGTATAACTCTCAATTTTATGTAACTACATACAGAAAATTGTGTTACTTGTTCGAGTTACTAATTCAAGTAAAGGTATAACTCTCAGTTTTATGTAACTACATACAGAAAATTGCATTAGGATTTTCAAAATGTTAAAATTTTTATTAATATAATCTTGAAAACATCAATTTAAACAATTGTTTAATTGTGTAAAATATTAATATTAATTAAATATTTATTTAATAAAATTGTATGATATCAATAGTAGGTTAGTACTATCAAAATCAATATATATATGTTTCATACCGAAAGTTTAAATTTTGTTTATGCATCTTTCTCAGTTGTTTATGAATGATCCCTTGAATGATGTATAAACGGTGCTCCAATATGTGTTGTAAGAATGCCACTGTGCAAAAGCATTGCCAGGTACAAAATTTATAGCATGAAAATACTGTCAAGCAGGAAGTACACAGAAATAACAGAAACTATACAGAAAGAAGTAAAATGTATCAAAATTACACTCGAATTTATTTCAATTGGATCCAAGCTGGTTATTACTGGCTCAGTGAAATTTTACCCAGTGGGCACCTGACATTATTAAGTCTAGACCATTGTATTGGGAGATCAAAGATGGGTAGAAAGGGGGGTTCACCGTAAGTCTTAAGGCTTGAAAAGCAAAACCAAACAAGACAGAACCTAGGAGCATCAAAGGTAATTGTGTAAAATGATGTGTTTGTGTGAAATGAACTGAGACAGAATCAAGCAGTTGCATCCTAACAAGTAGTAAATCTATCAGATTAGCTTTATTTAGCACAAATAGATAACGGAATTTACAGATACAAAATGAACAAGTTAATAAAATACGATACACATGGAAAAAAGCTGTGAGATAATACATAGAAATGAAAATACAATAAATACAAAATATACATCTATGTACAAAACGCATGCAGGCTATGTCGGGAAGTTTGAGTCACGGATGTGTTGAACTGCTAAATTCACAATCCTTCTCCAGGATCATATAATAAAAAACTTTTGTTTTCTTTAAATGGAGCACTTTTGGGCCTTAGTGAAAAAGTTGTCATTCATTCTGTGAAGGTACATTAAAATAGGCTCAATTTTTAAATCCCTGTGCAGGGCCTTATTTGAAACTAGATAATGAGCATTTGTTGTTGCATGTAAGAGCTTGTTCTGTGTGACTTTCAATGTCTCCAATTCCTTATTCGTGATGGCGGCCCATGCTGGAGAAGCATAGGAGAAAATCAGCCTGATGATTGGTATACATAAGTGTATTTTTCTGCATAAATCTAATTTGTAGTCAGAATTTAGCAAGGGGGTAAGACTCTGAATTGGCCCTATCATCTTTCCTTGAACATAAATTAAATGGTCCTTTCAGTTGAATTTAGTGTTGAAAACTGTACCCTTTACTGACAATACTGACAATTGGAACTTCAATATTGAAAAGCTTGAGACTTGAGGTAATAGGAATCTGTGAGTGCTTTTTGCATATTATTAATAACTGGGACTTGTCAGCATTTATGGTTATTTGCCATTTGTGGCATGATAATCTGTAGCTTCTTGATTGCAAGATTCCGGCATGAAGACCGCACCACAAGAGCAGTGTCGTCTGCATAGCACCCAAGGGAATAATTATAATCTAGGTTGACTTTAGCAGGTCAGCAACATAAAACAGGTAGAGAATGGGTCCAAGGATCGATCCTTGGGGAACACTGACTGTAATTTTTTTAAATTCTTGAGTATCATTGCCAATAGAGGCATAGAATTTCTTTCCATACAAAAATGAGTGAATTAGTGTGATAAGTGCAGATGAAAATCCAGTGCTTATGAGTTCGAAAATAAGCTCCCCTCCCCCATGCCGGACACGATTGAAGGCTTTCGCCACACCCAGCATGAGTAAGGCGACATTTTCACTGTTGCGCAGAGAGCTCCCTATATACTCCAATAACCTTATAAGCTGCTTAATCATGGAAAGCGAGCTGCAGATTTGCCTACATCTTTTCTGTATTTTTTAAATAATATTCATCTTACCTTTAGAACAAAATGCTATATTTTTACCACTTGGCATAGACATGAATTTTCTTGACATTCAGAATTTCTCCATTGCAAGGAGATTTTAGTAAAAGAAAATGTTAGATTTTCACTTCTGAAAAATATAAATGGTGATAAAATCATCAGTCAGTAATAATCTGTCCTATCCAATAATCTCACTATGTCCAGTAAGAATAATTTAGCCCAAGATATGTATGCATAGCTGCCAACTCTACTGGTCATTTTGTCATATTTCTCAGTCTCCCAGTTATGTAATTTTTAGCTTTTACTAAGACAAGTGCTTTCAGCAATAAATGAAATTTATTGAAATAATGAAACTTAAACAAATTTAATTTTTTTTACCTCTAATAATTTTCAGCATAATTTTTCTTATTAAGATTTATTTGATGTGGCCTGTATTAATCTGTGTAGAAATTTGTATGAAATTTCAAATAATGTTTAATCAGTTAATATATTTATCTTTAATTTTTTCCTACATTAGTATGTGGTACATTACGAAATTTGTCTTCGTAATGCATTTTATTTTCATCATGTCTAAAAGAACTTTATTAAATTAAATTTTCTTTCCTACTTAGGATTTTCTGTGAATTATAAAATGAAATTAACCAAATTTAAAATATCTGATTAAATATTAATGTATTTACATCAGAATCATATTATAAATAGTTGAAGAATTTGAATCATGCATTTTAATTTGCATGCAAATTTAAGTCAATTAATAATTAATAATTTGAACCATGCATGTAAATTTAAGTCAGTTCAAAGTTCTTTAAAGTTGGTGCCACCATGCAGCCCGGTAACTGAAGGTATTTGATCCAGAAACCACTCAGTTTTTGTATTTCATGGTTGGCAGCTATGGGTATGGTTGCAAAATGTACTATAACTGTTATAAAAGAATACTGTAAATATTGCAGAAGATCTAAAGAATACAAAACCTGTCATTTGGAAGATATATGCAGCATTTAAAGTACTGATGCTAAGGATAAAAAATGTCCACTTCCCTAAAAGATGAATCACTGTATAGCCTCCAACTCATAAGAATTTATTCATTACCATATCTTTTCCTTAATAGCAAACAATTCAAAATTTCAATGATAGCATCAGCCTTGAACAGAGCTGTCTGACAGTTCAATCAAAAAACTTGGATGAAATCAAAGAACTCATTCATTTTGTTTGTCTCAATTTTCTTGGGCACCATACAGTGTCCTAAGATATTCTTATTTTGTGTCCTAGTTCTCCAAAAACTAAATGCTTCAACTGCCTCACATGGTCCTTGTTTAGAATATAAAGAAAGAGGTGTGTGGATATAAAAAAGTGTGAAACATGAAAGAGGTTTCCACTCTTCTAACATTCATAGGATCCTAATATCCTGAATATGGATGATTTTAAGGGTTAATAAATTTTCTGTAAAAACTTTCCAAAAGTCTGGACACAATAATGAAAATTACCCAAAATGTTTCTGTTAAAAGGTTACATAAAATTTGCTTTATGTGATACATTTGGAAGTTCACTATAACTGTATAAAATAATATTAAACGTAAGGAAATTGGAGACTAAAAAATTTGTTTCTTATACATTGGATTCACTACAGTGGGGTTTGATTACAGTATTTTTACTTCAAATAAGTTAAATTCTTTTCTTAAATATTTCTTTGAGCAGTCTCTTTGAAGCTATACTAATAAAAAAAAATATTTTGTTTTAGCATCAGTATTGGCTAATTTATTACATGAATTATTTGGGCATGAATTAAATTTAGTGAAATGATTATATTTCATAATAGTAAACTAGGAAATCAAATGTTAGAACTGCACAAGTATCTGAGATTTCCTTTAAACTTTTGTTTGTATTTTGTGTGTGTGAAATATATCTGAACTTGAATTTATTTTTTTTAACTCTGTTTTCTTTCTATTTTAAAAACTGAGCTTGAAAATGCTATTAAAATTTTTCACTGTTAGTGAGTTTCTTAATAATGAATTATTTTTATCTTCATTTCCCTATGTTTCCATCTTACTTTTATTCAGAATAATTCATTAACATGGTTAGCTATAATTAGTTAATAGTTATTAGTTGACAATAGTTCCTTTGTGATAACAACTCTTTTATCTAATAACCTTTTTCTTATATCTCCTCATAGGATCTTATGATGCTGAAATAATCAAGAGCAGCCTGTATATTTTTATAAATTCTAAATTTAATCACATTCAAATTCATGTGTAATTCTTTACACACACTGAATGTGTGTAAAGAAAAACTAAATGTGTGTAAAGAAAAACATTAGTTTTACACACTGAATAGCAAAAATTTGAATAAATTAATCTTTTATGACCTAGTTTTGAGTTCATAACTACTTCTAAGAAAAGTATTCATATATTTTTTGTGTACATTACAATTTGATTGATTATTTAAGCAAGGATTCTGTAGATTTGATGTATAGTTTATTATAATTAATTTTTCACATTTGTGTAAATTCCTCATGTTTAGGTTTCCTTTTTCATGAATTTGAATGCTTTATTAAAATTATGCTTAATGTTAAAAAGAAAACAGGCTGCATTATTGATGTTTATCAGTTGTGTATATTAAAAGGAAACATTACTGATATTTTTCTTAAAGAACAGATAAAAAAATAAATGTTTTTAACAGCAAACAAGTGAAGAAATTCAATGTAAAAATTAGCATTAGTAAATAGAAAATTTTAAATTTATTGCTGACTGTAGTTTTATTAGAATTCCATCCAACTTGATAAAGGCATTGTAGTCACTCTTAAAATTTGTTGTAGAAACTGAAATATTGCACATTAATTTAGGCATTTTGAATCAAAAGAATAGAAATAAAGATTATAGGAAATTTTTCTATGTTTCTGACTGGAACAAAGTAAAAGCTGTATCATTCATGAGATTATTCTAGGGGAAAATTTTGTTGCATCTAAAAAATCAAATTAAAAACGCAATTAGCATAAGAAATACTTTTTCCTTTTTTGAAAATTTTTTATTATAAATTTTCAAAAACCATTATTTTCAAATTATTATCCTAAATTTTCAAAATTATTGTTCACACTAATTTGTCTTTTAATTTGGAATATTCCAAAGCAACCAAAATTTTCTACCATGACGACTTAATGAATGACATAGATGCTGTTCTGTTCCTGTTAAGAGCATGAAAAATCCTGCTCTAATTCCTATCTGTATTATTTTGGTAAAACATTTCAACCCGTTTACCATCTGATACTATAACTTTTGCTATGAGTGTTAGTAATATCAATAACATTTTGAAAATGTTGAATTAAGTTCTGGTTAATTCAAAATTAGTGATAATCTTCATTTTTATGATTATGAATATTAATTTTTGTGTTGAATTTCTTCATTAGCGTATTATATCATACAGTTATTTCTCTCCTGATAAATCTCTTAAATTTTAAAAGCGAATATTCATAACATTTATTTCTCTATTATTCCAGAGGCTTGAAGAACAGATGAATGATTTGATAGAATTGCATCAAAACGAAATTGAAAATTTGAAACAAGGATTAGGCGATATGGAAGAAAAAGTGCAGTATCAAAGTGAAGAAAGATTAAGGGATGTTCATGAAATCTTAGATAATTGCCAAACCAGAGTAATTTTTTTATCTTATTATTCTCTCCATTCAATAAGATTTAATATTTTATGCTGTCTATCAAAATAAATTCAGTATACTCTAAAGGGCAGTTAATAAAAAGGAAACCAGTGTGAGTATTGGGAAAAAACTATTCTATAAGCAGTAATGCTGTTTGACATAGAAGCAGTCGTAACTATTAGAAAAAGTGATGAGCATGCACATTAGATGCTAGAAAAAATAAGTTATTCTTTAATTGATTGAAAAGGAAGATTTGCCCTTCAAGCAGTACACCTATCCTTTGATTTACACAGAAGATAGGTTCCGCACCAAACCGTGTGAATTGAAATCTTTGATTTTGCTATGTAAAATGAAAAACACACTAAATGTGCATAATTTAGTTATTTATTAACATAAAACAAAAGTAAGACATATTAAAATAAATAAAGTTATACTTTGTTCATAGAATAACAAGTATATGTAGGTACTAGAAGTACATATTTAATTTATTTTACATTAAGAAAATCTAAGATCATTCAAAAAAATTTTATAAGGTTTAATCAATGTCATCACTTTCATGGACTATTAGTCTGTTCTTCTTAATTGGTATGATGTCATTTTCATCACTTGAGCATTCTTGATAAGATTCTGCTCTTCTATGGTTGATAAATTAGAGAAGATCTCATATCGACAAGACTTTGTGGTGAAATCTGTAATTGACAATTAATTTTAACAATTGCTTAGTTTTTTTTTTTTTTTTTCCCTCCTAAATCTTTGTAAACCTCCTCATATTGATTTAAGAACTTACTAAGAAATTGGAGAACTCATTCAACATTCGTGTCTTATTGTAAAAAATTATTACCTAATTTTCTTCCCATTTCAAGTCCTTCGCTGGACTCTTGCTGTGAATGAACACTACTAGTTCAGATTGCTCTTCATTAGAATCATTGTCTTCATCTTGTTTATTTGTATCATAAATCATGTTAAATAACTTATCCTTATTTAGTTCTTCATCAGCCATTATTTCCTCAATATCTGCTTCAGCTAAATCCTCAAAATCTTCTCCTCCTATAGTTTAGGGGAATTTAGTGATCTGAGAATATTCATGATCTAATGGTAATCTATCATTTTCTTCTTTAGCAGTTCCCGGCCATATTGCTTTCCAGCATGCATTGATTGTTTAATCTGAGTTTAACATGCTTAACACAATCTAAGATTGTAAATTTCTTCCAAGCATCTATAAGAGTAAGATTCATCATTCTCTATCTATTCTAAGATATACCTGAAGGTTTGTTTGATATACAATGCATTAGAAGTCAAAATTATTCCTTGATCTGTAATAAGGGATGAGCTGTATTCTTTGGAAAAAGGACAATGTCTACATTTTCGTATTATAAACCTTGAGGATGATCAGGTGCATTATCAGTTAATAGAAAGAGCCCTTAAAAGGCAATCCCTTTTTACTTAAATATTTTTTTTTACATCTGGGGCATAAACTATTCATTGACAGCTATGGCAGTGACCCATGCTTTCTTATTAGCCATCCACTAAATGGGAAGGTTATTTATTTATGTTTATTCCTTTAAATAAGCATGGTGCTTTTTGATTTGTTAATAATCAGTGGTTTCATTATATAATCGCCTGAAGCACTGCAACAGAAAACAATTGTTATACGACATTTTGCTACCTTATGACCACTATCTGATTTCTAAATAGGTTCTTTCTGGCTTTTTTTACCAAAACAACCCAGACTCATCAGCATTGAAGATCTGATCAGAAGAGTGAGAGTTGGCAGTAATAATTTCAGCAAATTTTGATGGATATTGTTGTTCTGCACCCAAATCAGCAGATGCACTTTCTCCTTTCAATCTTGAATTATGTAAAGAATGTCTTCGTTTAAATCTGTCCAACCAACCATGACTTGCAGAAAAAGATACCCTTTTTTCATCTGTCAAAGTTGACAGTGAATAATTCTTAAGTGCTTCATAAATCTTTAAAGCCTGTAATAGCATTAGTATCAATTGAAATCTTTTTGATTTTGGTCTTCTATCCATATCACTAATGTATTTTCCATTGTATCATCTCTTACATATGAAATTGTGCTCTTATTGCTGCAAGTTCCAACTCCTGCACCTTTTTCTACTAAAGGTCTTCACAATTTTAGACGATCTAATATTTTAATTTTTATTTCTAAAGTAATAACCTTTCTTTTTGTTTGATTCTTTTTCAAATCTTTTGGTAATATAAAACCTTAAAAAATTTACCTAAATTATAAAAAATGCCACAAAAAATATAAATGTTGAAAACTTACCAGTAAACATTCAAATATGTAGATAAAAATTATGTAAGGTTTGCTGCAAAAATACTGATACTGCACTTGTTCACATGAACCAAATAGCTTTACTGTTGTTGAAATACCTTTACATACTATGAAGATTCCCTTTTTACAACACGGGGAATCCCCATCAGTGTTGTTGCCACCAGTGTTACCAAAGGAATGAGATTCAAAAATTACTTCAAATATATGTATTTGTGTATATACAGCCGAATATACATTTTTACCAAGTTTTTGAAATCCATTAATTTTTAAACTGTGTAAAACCGAGTACCATGTAAATCAAGGGATAAGAGGAATTGCATGCAAGAACTAAGAAACAGTTTGATCAGAGAAAAGCAACAAGCTATTATATGGCTTTTGATGCTGGAAACACTCTTACCATGCTTCTGTTGATTTCACTCTATCTTCTTTCCATTGTGAAAAAATCGTATGTTCTCACTTTTTTCTTTTGTTGAGATTGTTTCTTTATGTCTCAAATGATGGGCTGCTTAGATGAAGCAAAAGTGTTGGGCTATTTTCTTTCCATGTTCAGTGATATTATACTTGCTTTCTCTAGTTGCACATAATGTAAATCATTTCCATGTAGTCATAACTGCTTCCATGCCATTTGGCATGGAAGCAGTACCAATCCTGTAGGTTTTTCGCAAAACCATTTTGCTCAGGTTTTACAGTCAAAAGTCTTTAATCCGGAATGATCTATAATCCGGACCTCAAAGCTACAAACTTTCTACGCATTTCGCTCAGTTTTTACAGTCAAAAGTCTTTCATCCGGACGTCCATAATCCGGAATGATCTGTAATCCGGACCTCAAAGCTACAAACTGTCTGCTCATGCATAAATGCATAATGCGTTAACACATGAGCATATGGTTTATGCATGCGCGTAATACCTTTACCCATGCGCATAATACATTTATGCATGCATGTTTAATGTATAACGGACGGAATAAGCTAAGCTAAAATTATCTAATTATTTATTTCAGTTAATGTTGCAGATTGTGTTGTTCCTTAATGTTCGAATTGGATCCGGCTTATTATTTTTTGCAGAATGTTAGAGCAATTTTATAAAAGTAAGCTTGAACTTTCGATTATGTCAAATAGAATTTCCGATTCTGGAGCTGCCGAAGGATCTACAAAGCGTAAGCATGTTTTGATGTCCATTAAAAAAAAAGTGGAATTGCTGCAAAAAATGGATAAAGGCATGAAGAATGTGACAGAGAGGTGATTTGTTTCTGTAACCATTCCGAAATCTGTTTATCAACTTCACGCTGCTCTGCAGGGGGGGGGAGGAAATGTCGCGGCTCGCAATGAACTAGAATTTGATCTGTCAGCACTATCCTCATCTTCAGGGAAGATGTTTTTATTTTATTCGGCTTATAATTCCATACTAAATGTAGTATTTCATCTCGATGTACTCCATCTTTGATATGATTTAAATCAAATTCCTCGTCATTATAAATATCACAAATACACATCCAGTAGTTTTCTGGTTGCAATTTTCTAATTTCGACTATGCGTAATGTATGCTTTACGTATGTGCACATTGAAAGAAATGTTTAATAAAATAAACAAATAAATATCAAGTTTTTTTTTTTTTTTTTTTTTTTTTTTTTTTTTTTTTTTTTTTTTTTTTTTTTTTTTTTTTGTAAATTTTGATACCCTTTAGATCACAATTGCTCTTTATTTCATAAATTACAATTTCATATTTTTAATTGTATAATTTCTGCATGCCATCTTACCAGATTTAAACTGATGATCGATAATCTGGAATCGCCAAAGTCCCAACGAGTCCGTATTAAAGACTTTTGACTGTATTAAATACCTTTATATTTAGAAGGCTGGTAACTTATCTAGACTTATGAATTTCTTATGGGGTTACTCAATATTAGGTGTTAAAGTTGGAATATATCTTAAATGTGTTATTCCCTGATTAGTTTATGCTATAAAAAAATTTTAAGAATGGTGAAAATTCTGAGTTCAAGCTTTTCTTACTTTCTAGGAGTATTGTATTTTGAAGATAAACTCTGAATTCTTAATTTTCTGCTATAAAACTAAAAGAGCATGTTGCTATATTATGCATTTTTAGCAGTTTTCTGTTCCATGGATATATATACAATAAAAATTTAGGTCTTTGAATGCTTACTCATGTTTACGAAAATTGTAGAACAACGAAGGAATCAGCAGAATATGGTGAAAGCGGGTGATTAAAAATACTGCTTGAATTTTTGTGCCTAAGCTCAGCAACCTTCTTAAATGATTGTGTGAAGCATTTAAACAAAAGATTATTTAAATAATTAGCTAGCTAAGTGTTGTATCATATCAATGAACTGGAAACTGCCCTGTAGGATTCACTGCACTTCATCAATGTCAAAGAACATCATATAAGCAAACTACAAAATTCCCTGAAGATGAATTATTAGTACATATCAAAAGAATGTTCATTCCATAACAGTGTTGATCATAAGAAACATAATGTGACGACAATATTTGAGTGTGGAAGATGCAAGCCGGAGAGAATTACACATTTCAAAATTCCAGCAATAGACCTCAGAATGCAATGATGCCATTGTATGACAACCATCTTATCCACATGGGCAAAATACTTTGCAGCTTCTTGTTGAGTTTTAGCATTAGAAGCACTGCTGCAAGTCTGACATTCTCTGCTTGTCTGATTTAGGGGCATG